TATATATATATATAGATTTTTATTATCTTTTTTCTTCTTTCATTTTATCTTCATTTGTCATTATAACTAATCATTTATTTATTTGTATTTGCATGATCGTAAGACCACGTGTGAATATGACACGTTGGTAACAATCATACAAAATCGTATTGGTATTATTTTTGTTAATAATATTGAAATAAAAATTTGATTATTTTTTTTTCTTCTGATTCAAAAAAAATATCCCGAAAAATATTCAATTTAATTTGGATTAATTTAAATATAATAAAAATTGTACAAATAGTCTTGGTATTACTTTTTGTTAATAATATTGTAATAAAAATTTGATTCTTTTTTATTTAAAAAAAATAAAAAAAAATAAACAAAAATTATATGAAATTTAATTTGGATTAAAACAAAAAACAAAACTCCCTCCAAAAAATATTCGAAATTTAATTCTTATTAATATTTATTATTTTATATTTTAAGTTTTAGTAATATTAAAATAACAATTTGATTCTTTTAATTAAAAATCCTCCACAAAAAAAATATATATATATGAAATGTAATTTTCATTAATTTAATATAATATAAATATAATTATGTATTAATTAAAATTAATTAGAAAAATTATTGTTCGTGATTACAAGATATTAATAATAATAATTATAATAATAATAATAATAATAAAATAATATGAAGTTTATGTCAATGAATAATCGTATTTATTCGACACACTTCTTTTTTTTCTAATCGTTTCGATTAAAATGAACGGATAAATCTTTTATAAAAGGTTATTCACTTATCAAGTCGAGTCATCATTCGATAAAAAAAAAAAAAAATCTTTAGAAAGATCTTTTCGTTTTTTTTTTACATGAGTTTACTTGACCGATTGTGAGTTCGTAAGAAAATAAAATAAAATAAAAATAATGTCTCGAGTGTGTGTGTGTGTGTTCACTTGAAAGTTAACACGACGAAAGAAACGAATGAAAAAAAAAAAGAAAAGAAAAGAAAAAGAAAGAAGACAAGACAAAATGCACTTTTTTTTTTTTAGAAATGTTCACAAGGTGTGATATCACGTTCAAGGTTACGAATATTCGAAAACCGTAGCTGATAATGAATGAATCTTTACTTAAAAAATACATTTAAAAAAAAAAAAAAACGAGTACAAATCATACGTTGAAATATTTTGATGGATTATGATCAAAGTTAGTTTCAAGTTTATTTAAAATTAAATCGAACAATTTATTACACACGTTATTACGAAATGAAAATTGAATTTTGTTTTTCAATTGATATTCGAGATGTGTCGACACGCGTTAATTTTAAACTAAATCGCGTGTAAAGAAAAAAAAAATATATATATATATTATCTTACATGCAAATAAACAGAAGAAAAAAAAGAAAGATTTATTGATTACGCGAGTTGAGCGTTAAAAAGAAGATTCTTTATTATTTTTTTTTTTTTTTTTTTTTCAATAAAAATGCAAGTAGCAGAATAAAACGACCGAGATTTCCACGAAATCACGCGACTCGAAGTAACAAGTTGCATAGAAGTAGAATAATCGAAGTTAGAAGTAAGAAAAAGAAATGAAATATTCAAATCTCGATGATTTCTTTATATAATATTCTTACTTGATTTTGTTTTTTTTTTTGGATTTCTATTTTTTGTTAAAAAATCATAAAAAAAATATGCTCGAATGTAAAATGAAAGAAACAGTAGTCATTGCGGTTTTAAATCTGACGTGGAAGATTTCACGTGTGATAATGCGTACCATGAAATGTGACAGAGGCAAAGAGACATTTCGAATTATTTAAAAAAAAAAAAAAGAAAAGAAAAAAAAACAACTAATAAATAAATATAATAATTGACAAATCGAATAATAGTTGTATTCATAAATTTCAATCGTTTGTTTGTTCAAGATTCAAATATGAGCTGGATAAAATTATTATGGACAAATGGACAATTTAAAATTATGAAAATATTTGTAAACAAGGTGAGTTGTTTCATTCGAATCTAATACAAATTTAATTAATTATTATAAATTTATTGCAAATAATTATTGTATTCAAATAATTTGTTATATACAAAATTGAACAAAAAACTATTTCTTTTTTTTTTTTTTTTTTAATATTAATATATAATATTAATATATATTCTATGATATTCTAATATTAATTTGTTAATTAATTTATTTAAATTAAAAAATATAAAAATTAAATTTGAAATATTTCACAGATTATCGTTGAAAAATATTAAGAAGAAAAAAACGTAAGAAAAGTAGGTGGGAGAAAACTCGGTTATCCATTGAAAGATATGACGAACCCGAACACAGTACCCAGATTAAGGATCGACAAAAAAACATTGTCGACTAATTCCACAGTTTCCGATTGTTCCGTCGTATTACTTCCGTACTACGAAGATCAAGGAAGTAGTGGTGGTGGTGGTGGTGGTGGTGGTATAAGCGGTCGTGAGATGTTAACCACTAACGGACAAACCAAAGAAGATTATAAAAGGCGAATCACGAGACAACAAAACGATAAAATAATAATACGTGGCAGTAACGATTGTCAAGAAGAATATCGTGATTATCGCGAAATGAACTTAAATTCCAAAAATAATGATCAAACATTCAACGATTTTATCATCGATAGGATAGAATTCAAATCATACGGAGAAATCGATTCGTGTTACGAGAGAATAGCAGATTTGCAAGATTACGTTCAAGAGGATAAAGGATCAACGAATTATCCAATGGTCAATGCGTTGGACGTTTTATTGGAACGAAGGAATTCATTGAACAACGATAATTACGATCAAAATTCTTCAGACGCATCATCGGATCTTGTCGAACGTGGAACTATCGTCAGAAATAAATTCAATCGTAATTGTCCATACTCGAAGAATAATTCAACCAATTGGTCGGGAAGAAATCAATCGTTCGAAAACAACATGAGTTTTACGCGTAAACAACAGAAAATAGACAAATCTAAGGAAGTACAAACTAACGGTGGAATATGTTCGATATTTGAAAACAATTGGCAAGGTAAAAACAACGATGAACAATCAAACGTCACTTCAAAGGAAAATAATTCGATACTAATGGTAAGTTTCTGCGATCTCTTTGTTAATCATTCAAATTATAATACGTCAGATAAAAAAAATACATATATATATATATATATATATATATATAAAATATTTTAACAATTAAGACTACAACAACAACGTCAATACCATCGATCGTAGTAAACGATCACGGTGAGAACACGGTATTGACGATACTCGGAAAAGGAGCCGATCACGGAGCCCAGGTGTTTTCTGATGCTAGCAACAGTTCTATCATTTCTCAAGCTACGAGAACTTGGCCAGATTCTCCATTAAGTTGTTACAACAACAATATGGGTATTTCTAGACCAAACAGCAGATGTTCCAATTGCGCACAACCACCGACTTCTGGAATGCAATTCGAATCTCAATTGATGCCTTATAACGTTTCTGGAAGCCCCATTGGCTCACCGCAGGTATTAATTAATAAACACGTTATTCCCATTAAAACAATATGATTCATCATAATCATTTATCGAGCAACGTTCTTAATAATTGCACCAGACATCTAATATTATTCATACTTTCCGCTAGATATTACTAATTTGTTTATTCCTTATTGAACGATCTATAATAGATTCCTTCGACGTATACTATGATGCAAGGTCAATCGTCACCTTCTTCATCGAGCCAATCTTACGGTGATATACCCAGCCCATTGAACTATCAAAAACCGGTTAATCGACGAATCGAAGAACGACTTCACAAGGATCTCGCGTGTTTTTCCATTTGGGGTAATTTTCTCGATGATCAAGGAAATAATATCAACGAAACAGTTCCTACCTTTGACAGCAACGAATTACAATTGTTAGATGAGGTTCTCAGAAGTCAAGGTAATCAATGCGAAAGAAACGAGGAAGCACAAGTTGTACCAAGATCTGACGATTATTATTCTAGCAGCTACGACAATCGACCATCAAGTGTACGAACTTTTGAAAATGAACTCGAACGAATGTCATCGTGTAAAAACGATACCCAAACTATTTCCTCCCCGTCCACATCAACCTCCCCTTACGGAGAACAACAAAGTAACAGTTTTACGAATTACTCATCTAGTCCAAACGATCTCCCATACACATACGTTGCTACGGAAAATCCTACTACTAACAGTGTTACTTATGGTGAAAATCAAACTCAAGTTAACAACTTGTACGATTACAACGACGTATGGAATAATATGGGAAATGATATGAGATACGGGAATACGAATAATTTACAATCTAATATGGAATTTGATAATATCAAACATGATACCTATGACAATAGACAACATTCTTCAAACGTAACTAATTCGTGTTCGTTACCAACATCATATCAATCATTACCAACATTATCATCCGTGTCAACTAACATTGCTGAGAACAGAAGAAGACGTTGTACGAGTACCTCCGGTATTTCTTATCCCAATACATCGTTCAATGATTTTCAAATACCTGAGATGGTATCATCTTTCAAATCTAATCGATCGCAAAGGTAAGTTGAATTAATTTCATTGAATTATTCGTATTTTGTACATATATTAAATTGTATTATTTAGGTCTAACGAAAGAACCATCATGCCATGGCCATCGTTAAATTTACCAAGCACCGGTGCCAGTAAAAGACTCAAAGAAGAACTCAAACCTAAAGATGTTGAAATAGCTATGAGTCAATTGTTAGAGATAAAAGATGAAGAATTAACAACTGTAGATAATGACGGTTATACGTAAGTATAACAATTAATTATTGAACATACAATTCAATTCAATTACGAATGATAATTAATGTTAGAATTAAATGTGCAGAAAGTTGATGTGTCTGATGAGTAATCCAGAAGATCTGGCAAAGAAAAAAGCATATCTCGTGCCATTGGTTGAACGATTGAGCAATTTTAAAGATGCATTATCGAGAAAAAACAATCGCGGAGAGGATGCACTTTATTTGGCAGCAATATGTTGTCCAGAAATGCCATACATCGCTGGTTATTTAGCAGCTACAATGTTACAAAAAGGAATTGACATTAATCAAAATCTTTATCATACTCGTGTAAGTAGACATTATTTTCAATTTGTTGCGTTTAATGTCGTATATTAAATGCTTGGTGTTACTGTAATCTCCCTGGGGAAATTCCTAAGATTAAAAATAGAAGAAAAAAAAACACACACACACACATGCACACGCACACGGTTTTTGTGCTAATGGTAGAATCGAGAATCCTTGAAAACCACGACGATACTTCCTACGGACGAGTCAAGATTATCGCGAATATTTCATCAAAAAAAAAAAAAAAAAAAAAAAAAAAATGTGTGAAAACACTCTGACCACGACCGTTTTGATAACCATTGCTTGCTTATTACAGTTACAAGCTGTATCTGTAATACACATATCTCACTTTCTTTTTCTTTTTTGTTACTTGCTTGCTTTGCTTTTAATTATTTGATCAATCTGTCTGACTGATTTTTATGTTATGGTTTTTTTTTTTCTAAATTTACAGGGTGATACCTTGATACATTCAGTGTCAGCGAGAGGTGACTCTCATGGTGAAGTTTTGGCCGAATTATTGGCACTTAAAACTAGTCAAGGATATGCAGTTTATGATCTTTCCAAATGCAACTACGATGGTTAGTATTTTTAATTTTTTTTTAAAAAGCAAAATCTATTATTACAAAATTTTATTTTAACAACAACAAATAGTCTTAAGTGTCGTAAATTAGAAAAGATTTTTTATTTTTATTTCTTTTTTAATTAATTTCATTGCCAAATATCGAATTATATTCGTAATTTATTTGTAATTTAATAAATTATTATTTAATTATTATTATAAATTAAATATAATTATTTAATAATATTATAAATTAAATAAATTAAATATATTATATTACATAAATTATAATTAATAATTAAATAATTTAATGTTATTTTAATTAATTGACAATTTTATTATAAAAGATAGAAAAAAAAATATATATATATATAAAAAAAAAAACGAAAAATTAATTACGATTCAATATACGTCATCATACGAATACGATATCTTATGAATCATTCATTAGTAGATGAATATATTTTTCATTGAAATTCAAAGAAGCAATCAATGTCAGGGGAACAACACTACTCGTGCAATTTCATTTAGTTTATATTTCTTGTTCTTATAGGAAGAACCGCTTTACACGTAGCGGTGGAGTCCCATGACCCTACGGGAAGAAATATCAAGGCCGTTGCCACGGTTCGTTTACTGTTAGACAATGGAGCTGATTTAAACATAAAGGATACTAAAAATGGCGACACAGCTTTACACATGGCTGCTGGTCTCAGTTGTGATCCAGCACTCGTCAAGGTATGCTTTAATAAAAATCAATTTTTTATTTTGTTTATTTTTATTTTTAGGATACACACACACACACACACACACAGGATACAAACGAAAAATGTAGGATAATAGAAAAAAAAAAAAAAAAGAAAGTATAACACGTTATGGTGATTTATATTTATCCAAAAATTTACTACTTTTTACTACTCAAATGATGTTTTTTTTTTTATTATCCTATTATTTTATTATTTATTAACAATCACAATTTTTTAATTGTGTGTACAGCTTAATTTTACCTTTTTTTTTTTTTTTAACTTCTTTTTCTTTTCCATTGTTAATTAAAATTAATTCAATTCTGTGGAAATAAATGATTCAAAAAATAGCCTATTTAAAATTCCAATAATAATCCTATTCTACTTGATAGAACTATGTTGTTTTTCTTTTATCACAATTTCTATTTTTTCTTCTTTAATTAAACGTCTACCGTTTCAAAAAAAAAAAAAAAACAATTCAATGTAACTTTCCAGTTCCGGTGTAAATGCAAATATAAATATGTGTAGATTAGATATGTGTATATATGTGTATATATGTGTATATATATATACGTGATATTTATTGACTTTATAACATTGTCTATGACATTATCATTCAATGTAATGTAATGTAATGTAAATTTGTTAACATTTTTTTTAATTTTTTTTTTTTTAACATTCATTTCTCGTCAACTATTATTACACGTAATGCAACTAGAAGTAATATGTATATATATGAACAAAAAAAACCATGATAAACATACAAAACGCCTACGCAGTTAAAATAATCAAACATGAATCACGTAATATTATGTAAATATTATCTATGATTATAAACTAGTTTCATATTTTTTATTATTGATATCGTTTAATATTTTTTTTACAATTGTTCACTCCCACATTACATTTTTATTATATATATATATATATATATATATATATATATATATATGCATCTGTAAAAATAGATTTGTTATTTGTTATATATAAAAATTTTGAATTATATATATAATATATATATCATATATTTAATTTCATATAATATATTTAATAATATAATTATTATATAAATTAAATAATATATATTATAATAATAATATTAAATAAGATAATTATATATAATATATTTAATAATATAATTATATATATATACTAAAATTAAATATATAATAAATATAATTATTATTATATATAATATTAAAAATTTAATTTTTTATAATTAAAAAAAATCTTAAAAATTATATATAATATTAAATTAAAAATATATACATTATTATATAATAAATAAATATAATTTGGATTATATATATATATGTAGAAAGATACCTGTGTGTAGTAGATGAAAATAGTTATTTGAAATTTCAACAGGTTTTGTTGAGCAAAGCTGTTTCCGGCACTGTGAACGCAACAAATTACAATTACAACACCCCGTTACATATAGCTGCCGCTTGTAACACGGTCCCTCTGGAAAAGCAAAAGGAAGTATGTTGGCTCTTGACCCAAGCTGGAGGGCAAACTAACATTCACAACAAGCAAGGGAAGACACCGCTTGCTTTGGTGTCAGCCGAAAGGAAGGACCTCATCAGGCGAATCTTTTATAAGAAATTTTGATACTTCACGACGTGTATATATATGTGCGTGTCTGTGTGTGTGTGTGTGAGTGTTTGTGTGTCACAGAATTTGTAAACAAAAATTCATAGAGGAGACTGACGATGTTTTATCTTATTTTTTATTTTTTTTTTCTCTCTTTTTTTTTTTTTATTTAATTCTGCTTGAAACTTTTGATATAATTAAATGAATTGAAGTTACAAGATAAAAGTATGAAGTTAATTTAAAAAAAAAAAAAAAAAAAAGAGAAAGAATAAAAATAGGAATGACTGAAGCAACAACAACAACAACAACAACAACAAAAAAAACATAAATAAAAACGTTAAACGCATTTTAACGCTTAAGCGATTATAAATTAATTTTTAACATTAAGTAATTCTTGCATTAATTTTTTGTTTCTTTTTTTTAAGTGCCAACTAAAAAAGAAAAAAAGAAAAAAAAGAACTGTTTACGGGTATTACATTTATATATATATATAGCAAATAGGGTATTAAGTATTGTTGTTTTTTTTTTTTGGTTTTGTTTAATTTTTTTTTTCTATCTCCCTCTTTCTGTATTATAACGTTAATTATTATTATTATTATTATTATTATTATTTTTTTTTTTAATGATTTTTATTCTAAATATTAAATATTTTGTGTATTTATCTTGAAAGCAATTATTATAAGATTTTTAATATCTGACTAGCATGATATAGATACATGTATTATCTCGATAATTATTTCATAAGTTTGTTTTTTTTTTTTCTTTTCTTTTCTTTAGATATCAAGAATATTTATTACTTTATCTTTACGTAAGTTTCTTTTTTTTTTTTTTCTATTTTACGTTAAAAGTTTTAACGTCGTTCATCACGTTTGTCGATAAATCAATCAATCATTCATACTCGACAACCAACACCACTGTGATAATAATTATTGTACCGATTGTTCAGCCAGTCATTTTGTAATAATTCTCTAACTTCTACGTATTTTTTTTTTTTTCATCTCATAATTATTTTAGCATAAATAATTAATGATAAGTGTATATCTTTTTTTAAAAAAAAAAAAAAAAAAAGTTCTCACAATCTCTTGTAGTCTTTCATTTAAATATATATTTCTTTTTTTTTTTGTTTAAATATGACTAATCGTGCCAAATAATGATAAGTAATTATTATTAATATTATTATTATTATTATTATTATTATTAAAAAGAATAATAAAAGAAGAAAAAAGAAGATATCTAATATAATTTACATACTAATATCTATGATCTCAATTTTAAGTAAACATATCCTTTAATTTTGACCTTGTTCTTTTTTATACAAACAAACACATATAAATATAAATATATAAAATACTAGGTGTGCCTCACCACGTGTTACTGTGGCTCACAATCAGTCCGATACACACGTCTTTAAGTCAATGAATTACCTTATACCACCATCTGTTAGAATCTTATCAAACTAACAGAGATAATCGTGACTCTTTGTTAATTAAACAAATAATTCGTAATAAAATAATATTGCGATTATAAATTGGAGCTATAAACTATCTTATCTTTCAAGTTGGATGATACTGCACACAGTGTGTAAAATTTGATTAAAATCGGTTCAGTAGTTTAGGAGTCCATTGCGAACAAACAATGTGACACGTATAATTTATGTATATTAAGAAGATGTATTATATAATCTAATTTTATGAAATAATAATTATATTAAAGAAACAAAATTACAATTATTACAAAATACACGAAATAATAAATAATTATTATAATAATTCTTTCGTATTTTATATTAATATAAATATATAATAATAATAATAATAATAATAATAATAATATATTTATTTTATAAAAAAAAATCATTATCTCTCTCTCTCTCTCTCTCTTTCTCCCACTTCGTTTATAAATAAATAATAAATAAATAAATAAAATAATAATAATATATTATATTAATTTATTATTATGAATAAACATATTATTATAAATATAAAAAAAAAACAAAAATGTAAAAAAGAGACCCCGAAAGATGATGATGATGATGACGATACTGATAATGTTCATAAAAATAAAAAGAGCATAAGCAAATAAATATACATACATTAAAGCGACATTTATACACATGTAAATAACAAACACATCTCTATGCATATAAATTACGGTTCTGGTATTCCCCTATGGTAATCTAAACAGAAAGGATGTGGTAGCCATGTCTTCTTCCCTATCATTCCCCCTTTTTTTTGTCGATTCGTATCTCTAAACCAATTAAAAAAAAAAAAAAAACAAGTTTTACAGAAAAAAAGGGAGGGGGAGGGGGAGGAGGGAGGAGGGAGGGAGAGGGGGGGCTGGTATTATCAGTAAGCGTAAATGAATCTACCATACTTAAATGATTCATTTTATTCTTCTTCTTCTTCTTCTTCTTCTTTTTCATCATTTTCTTCTTGTATTTTTGCGAAATCGTTTGAAAATGAAACGTTACGAGCTTTGTAAGATAATGCGATATATGTTAAATAAATTTATGAGTGAATATATCTTAAAAAAAAAAAAACACACACACGAGTTTATATTTTATTATTAAGAATGATTTATATATTAGATGGATTTGTAGATTGCGTATTTTACGCTATAGAAAATCGTTAAAGATTATTAACAAATAATAATAATTATATATATACATATACGTGCATTGCATTATATTTTTTGTTTTTGTTTAATTGTAAACTATCTCCTTCTCTCCTTCTATCTATCTCTATCTCTCTCTCTCTCTCTCTCTCTCTTTCTTTTTATTTTTTTTTTTTTTATTTTTCTCTTTTGCCAGTTTCAAATCAAGAAAATGTCTTACAAACGACTATAATATATACACGTTCGTTCGTAGAATTATAATAAACTTATAAGATTTATTGGTATCGTATGTAAACCTAATCTAAATTTCAATTTATCTCGCAATTCGCGCGTATTACTTCGTCTTACAATCTAACTCCAGGAATTTGGAATAAATTAATTTACACGATTATAACGAATCCAAAATAAGAAACTGATCGTATGTGAATCGCACAGTTTGACGTATATACATATATATATATATATATATGTGTGTTGTGTATAATCATATATGTGGTTTTTTTTCTTTTCTTTTTTTATATAAACGAAAATGCATCTATTATAGATAAATGCATCGATAAATATCGTTTAGTTGATTCAACTGACGTAAGTACGCGATTTTTATGACGATATTAATTACTGGTGCCCTATTCGTGCATTAAATATGAATATATATATATATATATATATACATTTTTACCTGTAATAAGAAGGAAAAGAATACAAGGAAACTTTTGTAGTCTCTTGATTGGTTGTCATTGTTCGAAGAACAAAATCTGTCGTTTTCCTTAAAAATTAATCGAATTCTTTATCATGTAATCGATGATAAGACAGGCAAAATTAACAGGAAACTACAAACAAATTATTGGAATTGAAATAATTTGAATAAATATCTATGAATAATGAGAAAGCGACTGTTCGTTAGTAATGAATGAATTTTTGTCAAATAAAAATAATAGAAAATATATTTGACAATTTATGAAATATACTAGGGGTGCCCAGTCATGCGTTGCTGTGGCTGACAATCAATCCGATACACACGTCTTTAAGTCAATTGCGATTATAAATTGAGATATAAACTATCCTATCTTTCAAGTTGAATGAAATTGCACATATATGTGTTAAATTTGATTAAAATCCGTTCAATAGTTTAGGAGTCCATTGCGGACAAACAACGTGACACGACAAGAAAATGATAAATCATAAATTCTTAATTTGTTATTTTTTTTGTTTTTATTTCCACGTTAAGATCAAAATCACACTGACTTCATTCTTTCGAATTTAAATACAACGACTAAATAAATTAATTGAAAGATAAATAAATTATTATAAACAAAGTATATCTCGTTAATATTATTAACTATAGGAAAATACAATCGTCGATTAACAAAATTGCAACCTTCATTATTTAATAATTTGTGAATTATCAAATTGTGTAATAACGTTTGTTTGGTTTTACAAATTATTTTAGGAAAATTTATCTATCATTACATTCCACTATATATATGTATATATATTTTTTTTTTTAAGGAAAAACATTGCTTTCAATTTTTGATTATAAATAATAAAATAATTGAAAACGTTTATAAAAAGTGGAATAACCAAACGGAACTTGCAAGCGGATTCGTGTAATCTCAGATATGAAACAATAAGCAATTATTTGTCTAACAAATTACATACAAAAATTATTATTCAATCAATAATAAAAATTATATAATAATATTTCTATTTTTTTAAATCACGCAATAAATTTTCCTAAATAATTTGAAATACACTTAGAATTAGGGAAAAAAATGACAAACAAAACAAAACAAAAATAAAATAAAATAAAATAAAATGAAATAACATTTTTGTTCAATATCATTTGAAACATATTATCATCACGGAAATGAATCTAACAAAATGTTATAAAATAAGGAAAAAGTAATTTTACGGAAGAGTTAAAACATCGGTAGGATATTCTGACCATAAACTTCCTTTCCATTGACAAGATTGAAATCCCAATGTAATAAAACTGTTTGGAAAGAAGTACAGTTAGTGTAAGGTACGTTGTTTAGTTAAATGTTCGAATAAATCTGTTTGATAGTAACGTTTAATATATATTTTTCACAACAGTTTAAGTTTGATAAAGTGGACGTCAATCATCGTAAAAAGCGGTACGAAAGAACTGTCCATCTTCATCAAAAGATTAAAAAAAAAAAATAATAAAAAGGAAAAGACACAAAAAAAAATAAAATAAAACTTGGATGAATGAAATAATTGGAGTTTAGTAGAATAGTGGGCTGTTGGTTCGATCTCAATCATGTTTGAAGAATCGTACTGTTCATAGAGGAAAAAGCTTTTTATCGATATCTCGAAGAACATTGTTAAACGTGATTCGGTAATAAAATTGAATTGAAGATTTCTACTTACCTCTATTTAGTGTAAAAACAAAAAAAAAAGATTGTGAGAGACAGTAAAGACATTGGATTTGGTCTCGATGAAAAAATACGAACTTTAATTTCGAACCCTTCGTAAAACAAATGTGATTTCTAATCGATGTGAAAAAAAAAAAGAAAGGATCATCATTTCATTTTCTTCCATCTTGTGTTTTTTTTTTTTTTTTGTAGTGGTCTCACAAAGGTAAATACATTGTTTTTTTAAACACACACACGAACGAGGTAATTGTTAATTTTCTTTTTAATTCTATTATCTATTTCTATTATATTAATTGTAACATTTTTTTTTTTTTTAATAAGTAATATAAATAATTTAATCCAGTTAAGCGTGTTTGACGTTTATATATGTCATGCGTAAAAGTTTCTTACAATTTGATAATTTAAATTGTAATATTGATAGCGAAAATTAAATTACATTCGTAAATTTTAATATGTTTCAAATGTTTAGAGGTGAAAAAAAGAAAAAATAAATTTGTAACTTCTATAAATATTCGATTTTGTTCTCTCTAATTTTTGCACGTTTATTATGTATAAATTAATAAATTATTAAACAACATTGTTCATTTTTTAAAAATAAAGTCGATCTTTTTGACAATCCAATATTTAAACAGCGCCCACTTATTCTGTGTTTGACGACTATATCCGTCACACACTAGAGCACACTCTGCGCACAGATCATCGCCACACACTTAACTGGTTAATAGAAAAATATTGTCAATATTGAAATTCTTTCACATATAATATTATATTTATAAATGATATATATGTATATATACATTTTTGTATTTATTTTATAGCATATTATATTTACCGATAAAGTAAATAGTCTAATTCATGAGTCATTAGAACGATAAACGATCAAAATGTTGATGCAAAAAAGAATTATAATAATGGCATTTGCTTTGCTATCATTTGCCATAACAAATTCAATTAGCAAAGAGTGTAACATCAATGATAGAAGAAGAGTAACGTGTCATTGCGATGGAAATCAGGTTGGTTTTTAAATATATTGTTCTATCATTTCTTATCTAACATTATTATTATATACTAATTTATTTATCTTTCATTTTTAGGAATTTTGTCTACCGAAAGAAAAGCATTACATGAACGCGACCAGTCTAAGTTTATCCTCGTGTTTGACAGCAAATCTACTTCATACCGCTTTTATGGAATCTGATTGGATTGAGGAATTCGTGGTTAAAAATATCAGTGAAATGTTGAATTTAGATACGTCTTTTCATTCAACTCAATTGAAACGATTCGAATTGACGAATATTCAACAAATGCCTTATATCAAACACGACACATTTTTGAATTTAGAAAACATTGAACATTTTGAAATGAGAAACGTTCACGTAGATTATTTCGAGGAACAATTCGTAGAAATTAAAGTGGATCAATTTGTTATGGCAAACGTTACGATATCGAATATGAAAGGATTCAATTTTTCGAAGAAGGGTGAAACGTTACAAATAATCGATTGCGAGTTTAGAAATGTCTCGACAATATTAAACTTTGGACAATTCTCCAAAGTGGAGATCGTTAATTCGAAATTTGAGTTACAGGAGCCAGGAAATTTGATGATTGAAAGCGATATTGCAATAGTTAGTGATAACATTTTTTTTAACGTTAGCATAAATATAGTTGCAGTTAACAACGTAAAGATAAATAACATCTGTGCAGATGGTAAAAGTTCTCTCAGACTTTCATCAGATAAAATTGAAAGTTTTAATAACAAGTTACCGACTGATATCATTTATTCGAAAGGACAAACGTCGGATGACGTTTTAAAAAATAACAATACCATTTGCAAAGCAGGTGATTGCAAGTGTCCAAAAAGCAATGGACAGAATGCAAATCGACCGATTACGATCGTATTTTTCTTTCAAATAATATTATTTTTGATAACGTGTATGAATATATAATTTCAAATCTAAATAGCTTTTGATTTATTCGAAATATACAAAATTCTAAATATATCTAATAAATATCAGTATTACGATGAATAAAATTATATTACTTAACAATTGCTATTAGGAACTATTTCACTAAGTACGATTAATTATAAATTATACGCAAAAAAAAAATGCACTTTAAAGCAATAAAATTAATAAATAATCTTCAATAAGAAAATTGTGCAAATATTTCAACAGTTATAATATGATCAATTTGTTTTCTTTTTTTATAATATTACTGTATTAGATCTAATTCTCACCTTTTGTAGAAAGTATTGTCAGTAACCTACTTGCAGTTTATTTATACATTAGTGTTGTTCCAAATTCCAGACGCTTCCATTTGCAATTCGACACCAGTGGTATGAAGTGACAAAGCATCTTTTAGATCATTTATTTCTTGCAACATCAATCTGTTATTTTCTTCCAAACGACATATCGTTTGTTTATACACCATTATTTCTTTTTCATGATCAATTTGTACCTTTTGTGTTACTTTGCCTTTAGGCACATGCGTACCTGTATAAAAATACAGAGAGAACATTAAAAAGTAAATTGATGATAACTTGTAGAATCTAATAATCAATTTTCTAATTCTACAAACCAGCAGTTTTCTCTAACTGTTCTCGTAGTTTATTTCCATTTTGTATGATCCTTCTTAGCTCGTGTTCATGTTGACTGTTCTTCGACAAGGATTGTTTCCTCAATTTAGTAACCTACACACACAATATAAAATGAAAACTTTGAATGTTGAGAATATATCAAATATAATTCAAAATCTGTTACTACCTCAGTTTTTTCTTGTTTTAAATCACGTGAAATGGCATCGTTTTGTACTTTAAGTCTTCTTTCCCTTTCTTGTGTTTGAGCTAATATCATCTGTCCCTTCTGCAATTCTTCTTTAAGTCGCTTAACATGGTTCTATTAAAACAATTCTATTAGTTGCAGTGTCTGGTCATCATAATATCATAGACATTGATTAAATAATAACTTACTATTCAATGCATATCCTTTATGCAGCATGTAATTACACACAGAATATAAACATAAATTCTTATAATTTGTAAAATATAATATTCTTACCTTTAAATTACTATTATCATTTGAGACCTTAGCGTAAGTATCATTCAGCTCATCGTAGGATTTCATCATCATTTTGTGTTTATGTAACAACATCCATAACGAATTGATTAATTTTATAGAAGTTTCTTTCAATGATTCAGTGCAGTCCAATCCATTATTGTATATATTGACTGGTGAGATATTAAAAGATTCTAATTCCTACAAATAGGTTAACAAAGGAATGTATGTATGCAAATCATAATTGATTATAAATGAATTATCTATTGAAAATGTATTGATATTTATCTTACCTCATTTAAGATTGATAAAGATTCATCTAGATTCTTCTCATTGCAAAAACTTTTCTCACAGCCTTCCAAGTTGTATCGCATAGTTAAAGCGGTCTTTAAATTTCTAGCGGATAACAAATTTTTGAATTCTGTTGCCATACCGTACTGTTCTTATTCAATCTACCTAAATGGCAAATTAAAAAGTTAGACTATTAATATATATATAACAAGATTTGAAATATCTTTAATAAAAGTATTGTCAAATTAAATTAAAAACTTACCTTTTATATACACTTGTGTTATTAATTCTAATGTTATAATATAACCTATATAAAAATGATTTAAAAATCGCTAATTGTTATCGACACTGTCTATGAATTAAATAAATATTCTAATACAACAATGTCCGGACGTGTATCACAACTATATACACTCACACATTCGAAAAGATGAGACGAAAATAAACACGAGCGCGTCTAACAATGTTTGACAGTACCTTCTTTGACATACTTTCAAGATTTACCGCATGGTGGTGCAAGTTCCAACAGTAGTCGACAGTAGTTCCAAGATTGACCGCGTGATGCCGCTAGTGTGTCCAGTTCGAAAACTTTCTTGATTAGTTCGCAAAGATGGCGACATTCGCGCTTTTCAAACGCATTACACGTAAGTATTCAATTGATTTGATATATTTGTGTTTAAAAGTGTCATTTATTTTGTTTTAATTTGCTGTATTTTATTTAAATGAACAAACATTTTTATTATTAATCAATTAAAAGGTAAATGAATATTAACTATTATAATGTAATTGTACAATTTGATGATAAAATATTGACATTTTTTTTATTTTTAGGATTTAAAGGATTAATCGTAGTCAAGCATCTTTATCATCACAAGTATTTAAATCGTCAGAATTGATATAACTTGAGATAAGAAGATTGAATATAAAGTAAGTAAAAAATATTGAAATATGATTCCATTATGACATTCGTATATATATATATATATATATATATATTTGATATTTGATTCACTTTACAGTGAACAGTAGAATACAGAAATAGTAAAGATAAGGATAGATAAAGAAAAAAGCTTGGTGAAAGAGCTTTTTCCTCCCCTTGGCTGGGACAGGAACACTAATCCGTCGTACGTGATCTTTAAAAGCATCGTGGATTAGTCAGATAAATCTCCGAGTTAGCGTGCTCTGGACACGAGATCTTTCCTATAAAAACCTTTTCTAGGTATGACATCCTTTTCTTTCTCTCTCTCTCTCTCTCTCTCTCACACACACACACATAAATTTACTTTTTATCATTTTTCAACTCTTTTCATATTCTTTCAAAGTGTACTCAATTTAAAATGCATTAATCATTAAAACTAACAATGATGAAAAAAAAAAAAAAAAAAACAAAGAAAGAATAATATTTCATCTATTAAATTATTTTTATCAAATTTTATTGTTAATTTTAAGATAGAATTATTTTATTGTCGTATTATATTCACATGTTATATTTTATATTCTTAAAATGTACAATATGTGTGTACCCATGAGGAATAAATTTAATAATCCCTAAACAATAGATAGTTGGATTAGTCTATAAATAATCGGATTAGAATAACAATATCTGCAATATAAAATGTATATTGTTATCAATTTATTACATACTGTATTTTTTTTTTTTTTTTTATTAACATGAATATTTTACTCAAAATTTACACACGAGGTGTGTGTGTTCGTGCATGATTCGAATAATTTATTTTGTTATATATCTGCAATTATAAAACCAATTATTTATTTTAGAATAAACAAGATTATTTAATAATTATTTTGAAATATAAAAATAATTTAATAGATAAGAGGAAAAAAAAATGGTCATTCAATCAATCACGAATAGAACAAATTGTAGCATCAATTCACGAAAACGAGTATAAGTTTTGTCTCACATATATTCTGTTAGGTTTTGTCATCTCAATTTACCAAGAGAAGGACAGAGAGAGAAAGAGAGAGAGAGAGAGAGAGAGAGAGAGAGTGAGAAATAGGGAAAGAAATAGAATACTCAAAGTAACAAGAGTAGCTCAATATTTGACACACGTCAAACGGTTAAGAGAACCCTAAGATTTCGTTGGTAGGTGGTACATAAGTAATACATATAAAGATACACACATACATCGATTACATAACAAGAAGAAGAAGAAGAAGAAGAAGAAGAAGACACATGTCACGTCACGTCACACGTGTATCAAAAAGCTGACAGAATTCTTTACGCTTTACTGAATGACTTTTTTTTCTTTTTTTTTTTTTTTGTTTTAAACGATTTTTCTTCAACTCGTATAATTCAAAGTGAAATTTTATTTTTCGCCACTTTCTTTTATTTTCTCAATTAATTTACAATTTTCAAGTTCAATTATTTGTAAGATATTCTTTTTATTCTAATTGCATTAGATCAGTAATTGCATTTATCTACAGAACGATTCAATAATTGAAAAGGGTGTCTGGAAACAAAACAAAAATTAGATTTAATTTCTAAGCATTTGAATTTATTAAATTCAATTATTTTTTATATTATTTGAAGTAATTTTTATTTCTAAAAGAGTTCATGTGTAACATAAATGTATTTCACGTATTTGTTTCTTTTAACACGTTCGCTCGTCCAGCCCGTTTCAGTTGAGTTTCTCGCCAGGCCCAAAATTCGACTGTCGGCGCGCCGTAACGTAAACAAGCGATAAATAGAAATATCAACAATGCACACAACCCGAGTATTATGTGGTTATATTATATTATTATATTTTATTTCCCGAAAATCATTTTATTTTGAAATGGGAAATGTGAGAAATTTGTCCAACTAAAAATACTATTAACTTGAACAAGAAGAGTGTCACCGTATACGGTGACGGGGCCCCCGGTAGAAGCATGCCCGTCTCCGGTATGGCGACAAACGTGTTAATTATTGCAATATAAATGGTTTTATAATTTATCTTAAAAATTGTATAAAATGTTAGATCAATTGTAAAAATAATTGATGATAAAATTAGAAGATATTACCACAAAGGTGAATAAGTTGTTATCAGACACCCTGTTGGGTATTACGAATGCGTGCAATTTTAAGATCGTAGAATACTCGACGTACTCTCGAAGAGATTTGCCTGACAAAGTTGTGAGAGAGTCAAACTCCCGAGAATTTTGACGGGTCAGTAACACTAAAAACATTTATGTCCTCCCATCCGCTATTCTTACCCGGCGAACACGGTTATTTTTGGCTAATGTTGGATACCCCCCTAACCCTTCCCTTATACACGTTTCATTGCTTTTCTCCTAATTATACCAATTCACTGAGAACCTAAAAATATGACCTCGAAAATTATTAGATACGCCGAAGAAGACTTAACTCCTATCCTTGTTTTTTTTTTTGATTTGATTTGATTTGATTTTTTTTATTTGTCAAAAGAAAAAAAAAGGGAGTACACCGAAACATAATTTATATCGTTCAAGTATCTATAATAATATTTCGTGGAGTACGTGTTGATATATACGAGTTTATAAAAAAAGATTTAGAAAGAAAAAAAAACTAACACAAATGAACTCGAATATGAAGTTGATTTGTGACTTAACAGAAGATTACTGTCACTGTGGGTGGTAATGGGTACACTTGTTACCAAAGAAGGGTCCTTTTACTGTCTAATGGTTAATGAAATTTTTCTGTGGGTCCCATAGAATAGTCCAGGGGGTCGTGACAGATGTTATTTTCTTAAATCAGTTCTAACTCGTTCATAGGATCATTAATGATGATATGTAACTTATTAACGATCATAGATTATTATCAAATTTATTCTAATTAAAATTTAATACTTGAAATATTTTCAATAAAATCATTTATTTACTCGTTTGTCTGTATAGTTAATAACAAAATTTTTATTTAAATGTTTAATCATCTTTAATTTTATTGTAGAAAATATTTACAATTATTTTCTATTTGACGATTAATTTTTTTGTAAATAATATTTCTTAAATGATGGTAACGAGATAAAATTGTATAAAATAACTTTCAATAAACTTTACTTATATTACAAAGTTATCACTAAAGAAATGTTGAAATTAGAACACCATAATCTTAATTTGTCTTTATTTAGATAATAAATACCAATTAGATAATTAATACAAATTAGGTAATAAATACCAATTATCAATAAGACGATTTTTCAAACATAATTACAGTGATCTTATATTTTTCTATAATTTCTAAAAAAAATTTAACACAATCTCATTCTTTTTATGGTTTTATAAAAACGTTCACCATCATCTCGTTTATTTTATTATCTCATAATCTTAATTATAACTTGTCATTTATTTTTTAAATCATAGTTGTCTTCATTTATAGTTTTTATTCATGATAAATGTTTCGAATGATAGGAAACATTATTAAATTTTATTTTGTATTTTTAATTACAGATGATTCAACGATGCAACGATGCACTTCATCCAATTCATCCAATTCTAATGAACTTCACGACATCATTCGACCAACAACGAAGGAAGACGAACATTTTGAAATCATCGCAAAACTTCTCAGGTCAATTGTCCATGCTGCATTTTTATTCGTAACAGCTGACAACGAGTGAGTACGAAAAATTGCATTTTCCTTCCAGTAACCAATCATACCATGAATGAAAGGTTCAATATCGGTACAGGTTACTGGTTGTATTCCTATATATGCATTTATTTTAAATTAACTTCTTAGTCTTCTCATTTTATCGAATTTATTAATTCACTTGATTAAACAATGCAATTGATTAATGCACTTATTTATTCTCTCTTTACATATACACATGTCATTATTTCTTCATTAATTTATCAATATCAATAAACGAACAAGAAGACTAATCAAAAATTCGATACACTTGCCAATATATATATATATATAAAACAAAAAAAAATATTTAAAAAGTTTCATTAATGTCACGTGTCACGTTTTTTATTTTTTATTTCTTTTTTTTTGTTATTAAAACCATGCGTTGAAAAGTTTTACTTTTATGAATACCCAACGAGGACCCAAGCATTATCGTAAAGAATTAAAAGTCTCTCAATTTAGACGAAGTCGAGTAAAGTCAACGACAAAGTAAAAAAAAAAAAGAAAAAAAGTTTAAAGTCGGCTTTAAATTTTTCTGAAAGCAAAAGACGACTAGTCTTTAAATCCAGGAGGGATGAGGGTGGGTGAGGATGGTGGGGGCGGGAACTGATGTCTCAGTCTATCGAACGTAATCGAAGCGATATTTCAAAGCGGTAATGTTATGACACACCAGGAACGTTTTTATACGTTTCCTTTCTAGAAGGCAGCAGCCGTGTCTTTTCCCCCTTAAATATCCGAAAACGAGTCCCTAAAACACCCACGTCTTTAACTTGATGTTCCACTTATCCGGTTGCCTTCTTATACAGTCTACCAAAAATACTGGGGAATTAATGCACCGTTCTTCGTGTTAATGCATTCGTTTAAATCAAAGAAAAAAAGAAAAAAAAACAACTTTTTTTTTAAATAACTTTGAACTTTCTTTTAATAAGTTCTATTTATTTTAACATAGACATTTTCTTCATCAGCTCAGTTGACTCGTAACAAAAGAAAGAATTTCGTTGATTTGTACTAATAAAAATGTATATTTAATATTATTATTATTATTATTATTATTATTAATATAATTTAAAAATGTATTGTATTTGTACTAAATATTGAAATAAAAAAAATAAACGATGAAATTGGTCTGTTAAAAGAATTCCCAGAAGTTTCGAATAGAGTTGGGGACGGATGAACCCGGCGGCAGGCACTTTTCTCATGAATGAACTAGGAGTAAGGGGGAAAGAGGGTGAGTTCTTCTACACTTATACATCAATGATACGTATACATATACACCGGGGGCGAGGGGTGTGTGCTTCTGCGATACCTCAAAAAAAAAAAAAAAAACTCAAAGAGCAACTCGTAACTATGCGTCGTCGTTGTCTGGTTCGCGCGTTAGTAGCACCGACCTGAAAAAGTGTGAAACACGTTCCTGAACAAAACGTCCAACCGGACGGACGTTTTACGAGCTACCATCTGGAAAATGCTTCTTCTTCTTCTTCTTTCATGATGAGGTTGTATTAACCGAGAAACTTCCGCGACGATTATACACGTGACTATCGTGATATATATATATATATTATACAAGGGGGGAGGAGGGAGAAGAAAAAAGAAGAGGAACGAGGGAAGTGGAGAACATGGAAAACAGAAAAGGAAACCGCTTTGAAATTCGACTCGAATTTAGGAACTGTACGTCAAGTCACAACCATGTTTCTTTTCAGATAAACCCCCACACCCCCCATCCATTGCGTTAATTCTCCCGTCTTACGCCCACGCGTTTCTCAAAAAAGAACAAAAAAAAAAAAAAAAAACATGAGGTGAGAATATTTGGAAATATCGTTGAATAATTTTATCCGAATTTTGAAGAAATATTTTCTATGAAGAACAACCAAGAAAAAAATAATATCTATCAGTAGGATTAGTTTAATGTGTACTTCCTCCTTGTTCGAGGGAAGGGGGGTGGGTTGGAATAAGGGGGTGGTTACGTTACGCTTGACTTTATATTATCCTCGTCTAGACTCAACAGCTCGAAGAGTGTTCACGAAACGTGCCCAAGTACCATCTTACCTTTTCATATGTGATATATTGAAAAAAGAAGAATGATACAGGTCAAAGTCATCTATATTGGTCAATTTATTATATTATTCTACTTACTTTCTCCTTATTCAGGATCAAGGTATTATTTTGAAGGGTTATTTATCTACATATGTAATGAACTCAAATTATCAATGTAATGTTTTCTTTCTTTTGATAAAAAAAAAAAAAGGATGTGTGTGAGAAAAAAGAAAATAAATAGAAAAGAAATGTAGGTAGTAAACGGTAGTAGGTTTATTCTCGATTTTGGTTTTCTAAATTTTGCCGATAATAAGAAAAGGAATCACATTGATGGATGGGAACAGATGCATTGGACGTGTCACTAAAAAGGGGCCTGGCATGTTTTGAAAACGTGCCGATATTCTGCTAAAGACACCGATGAACTTTACAAGCTTTTCTGGATTTTCTCAAGAGAAAGTATCTCTTGCCCAAACACCCTCTCTTTCTTTCTTTCTTTCTTGGGTTTTTTTTCTTTTCTTTTCTTTTCTTTTCTTTTCTTTTATTCTTACCGCGGCAATGGTTTCCTTGTTTTGTGAGATATCTCTCGAAAAAGATACTTCAAAGATACTTCCATAAATCGACACGAAATTTCAGCTGTCCTGTACCATTTATCTTCGCTAAAAACCATACTTTGTTTTTAATGTTCATCTCAAATTGAAATAAAATATCCTTCTTTTATCTTTTTTTCTTGACAAATTAACATTTAAAATTGTACAAATAAAAATCAATCAAAATTAATATTTGTCAAATCTTTCAATAGGTAATTTTAATAATAAAATTATGATTTATTTTATACAAAAAAAAAAAAATATTTTCAACATCCCCAATATGATAAAAAAATCACTATGATGAGACAAAAACTTTGATATATGACACACGATGGAAATCAAAAATTAAAAGGGGACTATAATATTAACTTAAACTCATTCCTTTTATCTTTTAGGTCTTTCCTCTCTCTCTCTCTCTCTTTTTATATAATAAACGGGTGAATTTATTCTGTTTTTGTTCTTAACAACATAATACACCATAGTCGTCTATTAAACTCCCGTAGAGAAAGTTGAGTAGTCTAAAAATTGCTAACATAAATCAGTAAATGTATTTTACCGTGCAGCAAGGTAAGCCCCCACGTAACATGAAAAAAAAAAAGTCAAGAAAATACTCGTACGGTTAAAATGACTTTATATACATATATATCAAAAAGAAAGAAATTGAGAGAGAAGGTAAGAATTTTCTCACTCTTAAGAAAAAAAAAAAAAAAAAGAAAAAAAAAACGGGAGCTGGAATTTTACTTTGCTTAGCTACTTGAAATTTTAGTTTAGTTTTAAAAGGCGGACCAGCCGGAAGCGACACTTCGAACGTGATAATTGTACGCCCAGCTGCTGTCGACTTCGTTTTCTTTTATTCTACTCGAGAAATACCTTACCAAGCGAATCTATTACGAATAAACTTCTTTATTATACATGACATTACAAAAAAAAAAAAGAAAAAAGAAGAAAAAAGAAATAGGAAGTAATAACGATTGTAAATATATATATATATAATAACAGTAATTAAATGAATGTATTACAGGTAATTATGTTTGATCATTTTGTTGGATTTTTTTATTACACCTGTAATACAAATTTTTTAAATATATATATATTATAATTTATTATTATTATATATATATATATATATATAATTTAATATATTATATTATATTATAATTATATATAATATATTTANTATAATTATATATAATATATTTAATTTATTTAATTATATAATATTAATTATAATATATTATATTAAATTATATTATAATTAAAATTAAATATGAATAAATTATATTATTATAATTATAATTAAATTAATTTATATTATATTATATTATTATATTATATATTATATTAGTATAATTCTAATTAAAATTAAATATATATAAATTATATTATAATTTAAAATATTATATTATAATTAATATAATATAATAAATATTATATTATTATTTTAATTAAATATTATTAATATATTATATTATAATTCATTATTATTATATATATTTTTAATTATATATATATAACATATAATTATATTAATATATTGTATTATATATAGTATATAATAATAATAATAACATCATAATTACATTTAATTATTTATTACGAATAAAAAAAAAAAGAAAAAACACTGTTAAAAGCATTTAATACATTCATTTAATTCACTTTAAATAGTTAACAGATTAAAATTAAAAGAATTTCAACGTTTAACATTAAATCGTAACACACCCCGAGTATTATATCAGTTTAAGAGAAATTTGAAACTGCATTTGTTTGCTAAGTTCGAAATGATACAACGAGAGAATGAGAGAGACAGACAGACAGACAGAGAGAAAGAGAAAGAGAGAATTGTTACAGTTAAATAATTAATATATCCCACGGACAAGGAAATCTCACTTTTGCTCATGAATAAACGGTGAAATACATGCATAGTTACACAATTGTACAAAGTTATGCTCATGCATGTTATGTTCTTCTTATTGCTATAATAAAAGCAACGGAAGTTCAAACGTTATTAATTACTTTCACGTATATTTCACTCACTCAATCTCTCTCTCTCTCTCTCTCTCTCTATCTCTATCTCTATCTCTCTCTTTCTAGTTTGTGTATAACATGTGCGAAACTTTATCCTTTGCATTGTCATTAATAACGCGTAAAAGTGAACATCAGAATCAAAGTGTTCAAATTCGTCGTAGTTCGATGGTCCTCATTGCAATTTAAAGTTCGTTGATTAATTATCATCTTACTTTTGATAAATGATCTTTCCACGAGAATCCTATGAAACTCTCTTTCAACGGAATTATTAGTAAAATTACGTCAAAATGAATGAAAAAAAAAAAAAAAAAAAACAAAGGGGGAACGAAAAATAAAAATTACGACGATTAGAAGAAGGAAGATGAGGGGGAAGAAAAATAATCCAAGAATTTTTCTGGTTTTTCTTTTTTTTTTTTTTTTTACAACGATGTTTTTATTGCATCCAAGGTATTTACAATATTTTAAATGAACAATTGATAGAAATAATAAATGTGTACGTACGTGAAACCCCCATGCATATAACATTGCACATACAGGGATTTTTTTTTTAGATTTATATTTTAACTTTTGCAAATCATATTCTACATTTTTTTTTTCAATTATTCAATATTAAAATTATTTTGTAAGATCGTATTATGTTTTTTTATGATAATTCTCATTCGCTTTTTTTTTTACAGATGTGTGTTCATCGTGTGTAATAATATATTAATAATTATATAATTATTTATATTTATAATTCGTCAATATTTTACTTTTCTCTTCAATTTTTACAATAATTTTTGTAAAAAAATATTCGCAAAAAATATTTGTATATATTACGCACAATTAGATTATTATTTTTTTTCTTTTTTATATTCAATCAAATTCTATTTCTTAAAATATAATTAAAAAATATCTTCCTTTTTTTTTTTGTTTTGTTTTTTTATTACCAATAGAAAAATATTTTGCACACGTTTTGTTGTTAATGTTTATTGTTTGTACAGTAAAAAGGTGAACGTGAATATGATCTGCAAAAAAGGATTAATTTGAGGGGGAGAGTGGGTAAGGGGGAGAAGGGGGGGAAGGGGCGTAAAATTTGTACATCCTTGTTGTTTAGAACATTTTTTAACATCGGTTTTCAAAATAGAAAAAGAGAGAGAGAGAGAAAGAAAGAAAGAAAGAAAAATAAACATTCGTTATTTTTCTTCAGTCGAATAAACAAAAATCGATTTTATATAAATATATCGATATATATATATATATGTATGTATAAAGCAAATAAATGGAATCGCATATCCGACGTTACGAAATTTCGTAAGAAGAAATATTGGACTAGTACAACTAGTTTCGGGATAAACAACTCTAAGAATAATAACAGTTATAAATTATGTTAATTCAAAATGACGTTTGATTATACGTTGGACTGATAGAAAATAGTAAAATATGATTTTACATAAGTCTGACACACGTCTGTTATAATTTGACGATTAAATTTCGCGATGATTACTTTTTTTTGTCTTTTTATTTATTTATTTATTTTCGTTGATCATTTTTATCGGAAAACAACGTTTGCAGATAATATCAACTCATTATTCACGTTTGACACTTTTATAAATTGAAAAGAATAATTGTTTTAGTACCAAAAAAAAAAAAAAAATGTAAAATCATTTTGTATTAATAAATGAACTGTTTAATCCTTCGACTGCTAATAACAAACATATAACTCGCAATAAAATAATATTGCGATTATAAATTGGAACTATAAACTATTCTATCTTTCAAGTTAAATGAAACTGCACACAATGTGTAAAATTTGATTAAAATCCGTTCAGTAGTTTAGGAGTCCATTGCGGACAAACAACGTCACACGTAATTTATATATATATATATATATATATTAAGAGAAGATTACCGATTATTATTGAAGTAATGCACAAGATAAATAAAATAAATATAAAATAGTTTTAAAAAATTACTTAAATAAAAAGTAAACAACAAAAAATTCATATTTTTATTTTTATTGTCTTATTATTATCTGTTTTGGTCAAAAGAGTTAATGAAAAAACAGTCGCAACGATTGATATGCGAAAATCACACCCGCCGTTCATATTAATGGATTGGTTCGAGAACGCGTCGCACAGTCAAAGGGTTAATATTATTAAATTTAATATTAGTTATGTTTTCTCTCTCTCTCTCTCTCTCTTTCTTTCTCCCATTCTTGAAAACAAAAATGTATCTAATTATATATAATCGTAGTATCATTGAATTAAATAAAATTTGTTTTAAACTGGGACTAGAAAATACAAGATTTCAAGGTTCTCTCGAACGCACAATCTTGTGTTACACATTTTTATAATTATTATTATTGTTATTATTATAATAATTATATTTAATTGTTTCTTACGCTAAACTACGTAGAAAATGTAAGTATAATTTAAAAAAAACAAAAGAAATGAAAAGAAAAGAAAAGAAAACAAAACAAAAGATAAAATTCTCATAATTTTGGAAAATACAGGAATCTAATTGTGTACACATTTTAATCGTAAAAATGGAGTTTATCCAACGAGTAATCTCGTTCTACTCTCTCATCCCCCCACACGGGAAGTTCGTTGAAAAATAAAACGCTAATCCTTGCCCCCCTCCACTTCTCTCCCTCCCCACGACCACCACCACCCTTTCTCGAATTAGCTGCTTTCGTTAAAGTTCTTTTTTGGGTTCTATGTTATTTACCTAACAACTTCTTTTTTTTATGTTTTTTTTTTTTTTAATTTTATTTTATTTTATTTTTATGTCCACAATGTTCAGAGTCTCTCTCGTAAACGTTATACGGTATGAATACGTATTTAAAGTTTAATCTGGCTAATCTAGTTTCCCCCTACTTCCCCTCCCCATCTCCCCACCCCTCCTCCTCCTCGATAAATGTTCATTCGTAATTCATTGAGATTTCAATTCGAGAACGATGAACATTTTAAATTATATCAACGTTATAGTTTCTGTTTTTTTTTTTTTACGATTACTTTGAAACGTTTTTATTGTTGTTTTGTTTTTTTTTTGCAATTTTTTTCGTACGTTTAATGATAGTTACTTTTTTTTGTTTTTTTTTGTTTTTGTTTTTTCTTTACAAATTAGGAGAAATCATCCCATTTTTTTTTTGTAATACTGTCTTAACTTTAAAGATGCGACGAGTAATGACTTTCCATAGGTGCTTGTGGTGGTCCATTTATACTTTGAACGATCATACTCAAACAATCCAAACTACTTCCGTTACCTTGTGACGATGACGTTTCAACTTGCTCGAATCCTGCAAACATTAAAAAAAAATATATATTTGACAACATTTGGTTATCAATTCAATTTCAATAATAATAAAATCTAATTATCTTTTATTTATGTATTATTATAATTAGGTCGAGTTATAAATAATTTCCGTTTTTTTATGAGACAAATAATGGCGTTCCTGTGACTGATAAGTGCAAGACACCATGCGATTGCATACAAAAGTTAACAGAAGACTAAACTGAATTCTCATCTATACACAGTGATGTTGAAAATCCGTTTGTTTCGGTGACTTATAATAGGTAAATACGAAAAATAGATTCTAGTTACTTGTGACTCGACCTAATATTAATGTTCAAATAATCACACGATTACGTTAATCATTTATCAATGAATCACACGCTTGTAAATAAAGACATTTAGTTTCTATTGAAGAAGTTAACAAACGCAACAGTGCATTTTCACGCTTTAACGAGAAAGAACGTATTTCATATCGGGAAAAAGCATCAGGAATTGTCAAAGTACGATTGTTTGAAGTAGGTAATCAATGAATAGGTGGAATGAGAAAAATGGAAAGATAGAAGTAAAAAAAAAAAAAAAGAAAAAAAAGAAAGTAGAAAAGACAGAAACGTCGACTCGTTAAATTGGAAAATTGTCGTCGTTTCCGTCGCGACCACTTACACACACACGTGTACATAAATACATAGGTTATCATCGTATGTGTTAGGATTCGATATGACCTGGAACATCACACATATATAGAAGAGAATTCAATCAAATTGGCCGAATACACACGTTCGATTGCAAATTCAAGCGAATTTCCTATTGACCACTAATGAACAACGCGTGGCTTGATAGCTTATATACTCCTGTTGTTATTGTTGTTGTTATTATTATTATTATTATTATTATTGTTAGGTAGCATTATCAAAAGATAATGAAGTAACTTACGTAAACTCTTGATGTTTCATACTAACTAATGAACGAATCAACAAACGAAACTAATCGAACGATTATTACAAAACTCATTGTGTTTATATTGCATACCATGCATTATTTATTAAAACGTGTATTACACGATTAAAGTCCCTAGAATATGATGGAAAAAAAATTGTTCAAACTAGTCGTTGGGAAATTTGCCAAAATTCATATAACGTTTTAAAAAACAAATGTGTACAAATCACACACGATAGAAGACGTGAAATTTTCAAAAAGAAAACCAAGCTTCGAGACGTTAATATATCGAAACAATTGAATTGTAATACAGTGCCATCTATTGATAGAACCTTACAGAACTTAGATGAACCTCTAAATAAAAGTCTTTAAATTAGTAATAAAAGACTAAGTTTTTGAGAAAATGAGACGAATACAAAATATCTGCTGTAGGATAATTGTATTATCTTCTTATTTCGTATCGCGGCCGTTTCATCGTCTCCCACCGCTCCGTTACATAGCCGCCTACCGCTCCGTTACATTTTTTCAAATTACACCCATTCTAAAGAAGTTTACACTTCGAAAAAATCGCCATTAAAATTGTGCTATGTGCTAAATTGGAAAAAAATCACTAAGTGAAATAAAAATAAATTTCATTAAGATAAATTTGAGTAGTTTCGAAATTATTATTGGACAAACATATTGTGACACTGAATTTTATTAATTAAATCATTATTTTTGTTTCATCGGTTTTACGTTCTTCCGTTTCACGATTTTCAAATCACCCTGATTCTAAAGAAGTTTTCACTTCAAAAAAAATCGAAAAGTCTGTAACAAAAACTTATCGTTCGATTCTTACAACAATAAATAAATAGAAAAATCCTTGTATAGTATTATAAACTATCTGTTAAAAGAAGAAGAAGAAGAAGAAGAAGATGATGATGATGATGATGATGATGATGATGATGAGAATAAATAAAAAATGTGAAATAATTCTCAACGGGAGTAACCATTTTCGTTCGTTTCAACAAACGATATAGAATAGAAAGAACTGGGTGAAACGAGCACGAAAAAGAAACAGAGAAAATACATCTATATAACTTCCCCTACTCCCACCACCCTTCTCACCATTTCTATCAAGATACGTACATGATACTAAATACATATATATATATATATATATATATATATATATATATATATATATATATATATATATATATATATATGTGTGTGTGTGTGTATGCTATGGGTACGCAATAAAAAGCTAGAACGAACGATAAAAATAAAAGTGTATCGTTTCTACGAAAGAAATGAAAAGAGGAAAAGGATACGAAATGAAAAGGAACACGCACACAAATACAGTTTAAAAAAAAAAAGAGAGAGAGAGAGAGAGACAGTAGCAGGGTAGAAAAAAAGGGGAGGGGGGTGGGAGGAAGGGAGGAAGAGAAGGAAACACTGAGCGTACAATGATGGGGGTCCAGATTTAAAAGCAGAAAGTACTCGTCGAAAACAAATCGTGCTTGTTCAGGCAGTATTACGGGTGCCAAGAATAACGGCTTCAAAGCCCTTAAAGTCTCAGAACTGTTACCAAAATGCAAATTCGTTTATCTTCGGTGCAACGAACAAAGAAGGATAGAAAGAAAAAGTCTAAGTGAACTTTCGAATGAGAAGAAAGAAAGTCGTTTAACAGATGAAGAAAGAAGGGTTAAAGGGGGGGGGGATTGGGGGAATAGAAAGGAAAGTGTGGGGAGGAGCTTTCTTGACGTTAGTTACTTTTTATTTTTTGTTTTTTAGGGACAAACGCAAATCCTACTCCCCCCCCACCCCCTACCATTCGTTTTTTATCTAATCAACATTTGTATTCGAAGGTTGGAAATAATGTTTTAAACGAATTATCATAATTTTCAATGCAAATGAAATATATTTCATTGAAATATTGAAACGAGTTGAATTTTATGCATTAAATTTGAAAGATTTGAATAGCAGTAAATTTGTATCTTTTTCAAAATACTTCCGTTTAAATTTATCATAGTATTAACATTTTTATTCACAATTCTTGACACTTTACTTTTCTCGATCTTTATTTTACTGTTTTTTTATTATATAAAATATAAAAAAAAATAAAAAAATAAAATTATTCATTCGACACGTTTATTGAAACGATATAATAATCTTTGAAAGGATACTCGTTAAGTGGAAGAAGAAGAAGAAGAAGAAGAAGAAGAAGTGTTTAGACGAAAAGCTTTTTCAGTAAACTAGACGTTTACGTCCATCATCATCATCCTTCCTTAGCTCCTATTGGCTTTGCCAGAGAGAAATTTTCGACGAGTTGAAACCCACCCACCCTGATAGGTGATGGTAGTGGTAGTGGTAGTGTTAGGTGTCTAAAGGTGTTGAACGTCAACACGCATCGTCGACCAAGCGACACGCGTAAAAGTGTTTCCAAAGAGAAATAAGGAAGGAAGGAAGGAAGGAAAAAGGGAAAGGGTAAAGAAGAGAGTGAGAAGATGTAAGTGTAGAAGGGAGGAAGGGAGGAAGGGTGAAGGGAAGGGAAGGGAAAACTCGTGCACTTACGATTAGTCGTGGCACGTTCGCAAACGTTGAACGTTGATCGATCGTCCTGTCATGAAAGGATAAGGTAAAAGTGACTATGACCCACTACTACTATTTCCCCATCCTCCATATCCTTCATCTTTGTCAGACACACATTCACACATGACGAACGATATTACATAAATTCATCCAGGTGCCAACGTCAACGAATTAAGATATGTATATTACCAAGAAACGTATTCATTTAATATTACAAATTACAGACCCTTCCCCCAACTAACACAGGGTTCCTTAAATTGCAACGAATTTTAAGAAAATTAATTGATTTATATATATTTTTTTTTCAATTTAATTTAATCAATTAACAAGATATTGTTTCATATAATATTTGTAACTTTAATACTATATTATATATAATATTATAGTAGTACTATCTTAATATATATATATATAAATTACGTGTGACGTTGTTTGTCCGCAATGGACTCCTAAACTACTGAACCGATTTTAATCAAATTTTACACACTGTGTGCAGTTTCATCCAACTTGAAAGATAGGATATTTTATATCCTACATATATCTATTTAATTATATTAGTACTATATTATATATAATACAATATTGGTGCTATATTAATACTACTATATATATATAATACTATATTAGTAATTTATATACTTAACGTGTCATAACTTATACGAAATTAAAAAAAATATATATAAATAAATATTAATCGATACTATAAAGAAAAGTATTGTAAAAATTTAACTAAAAAACAAATGCAATATTTGTCAAGGGTTATTGTCAAAGTAATTGGATGGGGAAGGGAGGGAGGAGGGGGGGGGTGGGGTTAAAGTAAGTAAACAATTTTTTAATTTCGTATTAATAATAATACGAGATAATTAAGTTGACGTTTTTGGCAACGGATACTACCAACGTGAAACTCGTACACACTCGTGCGATACGACCAAGTGAAGGAACGAGTAGATGAAGAAGAAGATGATGATGAAGAAGAAGAAGAAGAAGAAGAAGAAGAGCTAAAGGCTTTTATTTATAAATCTCCGAGCGATACATAGTTTCGCTTGTCATATTTCTCTCGATGACATATCACCAAGACCACGCACGACGGGTTCCCTTGCCAACTACTGTTATTATAATTCGAAAACGACCATGCCGAACAGTTTTTGACAGGGCCATTTGAAAATTATGTATTAACGGTCTACCGCAACCCTCCACCCCCCACCCTCCTTCACCCTTCCATCCCCCACCTGCCATATTTCGTACGGGATGCAATTAATTCAATAATGAATTTTAGTTACGTGGATGAATGAAGATATGACGGATTCAATTCTCCAACGATATTGCACGATTATTATTACATTTATTTACATCGATTCACTTCGATATCTTCATTATCATATTCATTAAATCTATGTATGATCGTAAATGATGAAAACGACAAATTCAATTTTATGCATCTCTATTATATCCTAATATTGTCAATTACAATCGTTAAAATTCAATTGGATGAAGATT